GGGGCCCGGCTGCGGGCCGGGCGGGAGGGGCCGTGAGTGCCCAAGCAGCAAGAACACCCACAGAGGCCCTGTGCGGACCATCAGGATTCTCCGGGCACTTGTGCCAGGGGAGAGGGGGCCGAGCTGAAACCTGACGCCTGCTATGGGCTGTCCGGTCAACACAACCTCCACACCAAATGCCTCCAGCAGCCAGAAGGCCCTGCCCAGTCCCAGAGCCCAAGGACAGACTGGGGCCCAAGGCTTCCCCCGGAGGCTGTGTTCAGGGATCCCCACCTCGTGGGGTTCAAGGGAGTCTGGGGGTACCGGGGTTCACCTAGAAGGTCCCGTCGCTGCACAAGCGTGGCGAGTCCACAGCCCCCAGCGGCCTCCAGAGGGGCACTGTTCTCTCCTTTCCCTGGTGGGGGTCACCTGCCGGAGAGCCGCTCGGTGGCAGATGCCTGCCAGGCTCAGCCGTCTGTCCCGTCCACCCAGCGCCTGAAAGCCGGAAGCCTGGTGTGAACACGCCGTGCTGAGCCCCCGCTGGAAGTCCCAGCACTGGAAGGCAAAGGGCTCCCACCTTCACAAGCCACAGGGCAATACCACCACCCCGCCCCTGCCCCCATGCAAGCCAAATCCTTGGTTCCAGTCTATTCCTTCCCGGAGCCGGAGGGCTTGGTTCGGCGGCTTTGGACCACACCCGGTGAGGAGCTGGGGGGGACCCACTCTGGCGCAGAGCTGCCTCTCCCGTTCTGGCCCCTGCTTAGCAGGTTCCTGGTTGGTTTGGGTCTTGCCTGGTTTTGTTTTAGGCTTTTGGGCCCCACCTGGCTGAGGTCAGGGTTTACTCCTGGCTCTGCATAGGAATCTCTGTGAGCAGAGGGTTAGTTTTTTAAACATTTTAAAATCTGATTTGCATAATTATGGTGGCTTTTTATTTATTTATTTTTGCTTTTTGGGTCACACCCGGCAATGCACAGGAGTTACTCCTGGCTCTACACTCAATAATTACTCCTGGCGGTGCTCAAAGGACCCTATGGGATGCTGGGAATCGAAACCGGGTCGGCTGCGTGCAAGGCAAATGCCCTCCCCGCTGTGCTATCGCTCCAGCACCTATGGTGGCTTTTATACCATCTTATCTCCAGCCCCCAAAATCAGATATTTTTCAACAGGCCTGTTTCACACAGCAGAGCTTTACAAAAGTATTTTTACAGAAGTACAAGAGCGGGTCATCTATAAATTCAGCAGTATTAGCCTTCCAAGTCACTATGGAAAAACAGAAAATCCTGGTTAATTTTCTGTTTAGGTTTTCCTCTTTTCCTTTTTATCTCCCCACAACCAATTAAATTCTGCTTGGGTCTAACCAAAAATCTACTCTAAAACTCGACATCACACACACACCCTTAATCAGAGAATCACCCTAAATCAGAGAATATCAACTTTCCTAGATAGCCTGAGAGCCTCTTCTGGATACTAACTAAAAGTGAATACACCAAAAGTGAAATAACACAGAACAAACCACAAAAAATAAAATAAAATAAAATAAATAAAATAGTCACCCCATTCTAGATCTAAACGACAGATTCCTTATTTCCAGCTGCCATTTCAGTGATAGACTCTAAAGGCAGGTACGTACATGCCATCAGACCACGGCCAGTAGTATACGCATGGCCCACTCAACCGGGAGCCAACACCTTGGGTCCCTAACTTAGAAACGCTCACCTACTAACTCCAAGTATTCCTGGCCTTGAGTAACATTGTATCCTTTGCTCATCTGTCCTATTACTCTTAAGATCTCTAGATACTCCAGGAAAATCGTGGCAGGGGAAGTATAGGAGCTAAGTGAGACTTTAGGACGAAGTTAATGCAGTCCTAAAACCAACCGGAAATCTGCCCACCTGAGAAGTGAGAGTCCTCCTGGCGGGCACACCACTAACTAGGTCCACATCCAAGGTGACCCTAAATCAAACCAGCATCAATCAACTTTCCCAGATAGCCTGGGAGCCTCCAGGGGCTGACCCTGATACTGGCACAGCATATGGTCCCTGAGCACCTCCCCGTGTTCTCCTCCTCAGAGACCCCCACTCAGCCCCCATCACACGGGAACAAGCACCATGAGGCGCGTCCACGTGGCCTCCAGACCCGTAAATTCTGCATCTCACTTCCCATGCGTCTGTTTAAGGTCTATGGTTTGGGTCTACTTACGAGCGAAGCAGAGGTCCCTAAGAAACAGGGCAGGCACAAAGATTCTGATGCTCTAAGTGTCTTAGAATTTCTAGAAACGAAGACATTTTTTTACCTCTTTTAACACTTCTTACTCCACTTGGCTTCTCCCTTGCTAAACTTTGATATTAGCAAGCTTTTGTTTTGTCTGCTCTTAACTCTAGTTTTCTCTCTGCAGCGGGGGATAAATATCCATTTGATTATCTCCATACAGAGGTCCACCTTTTATAATTTTAAATAGAAACGGACAAGAATAAAAGGGCTACCATCACCCAACTCAGCTCTTACCTCCACCTGCAGTAGAAACCGGACCAACTTAACTGCTTACGATATTTTCATGTGAGTAAAATATTTAATAGGCAGCTTTTTGGGAAAAGCTTCTTCACATCTGGAAACATTTTAAGCTGATAGAAGTTTCTTTACAACTTGTTACCCCATTCAAACTTTGGACAATTACCAGTTCAAAACCGAGGAGGGGGCAAGGGACGTGGGCCAATGGTCGAGCACTTGCCTTGCAGGTGGAGAGTCGGGGTTTGATGCTTGACCCCCCAAGCACTAAGCCGAGAGTCCCCACACAGACAGACCCTGTGCCAGGCCCTGCTCGAATAATCTGAAAATACAAGTGCCGGGATCAATAGGCCTAAACAAAACTGTATTGCACACATTTATGATTATGTTTCGACCTTTTCTTAAAGGCATGACTGGGATATTTAAGTCTGTTTCCTTTTGTACTCAACAATCATGATTCTTTTTTCCAAGCTTCTTTGTCAAATTTAAGCAAGAGCTCATTTGTCGAAGCACATGTCTATGTTTCAATACCCAGTCCAAACTCACCTGAATCGTGCACCATCCCTGAGAAATTCTATTTTAGGTTAGCTTTTTGCTGCATGTTTAAATCTTTCTGACCTTGTAAAAACCATCTTACTAACTGAAACAAACAAAGTCTAAAACCCTTCAACCACACTAAGCTACTTCCAACCTGTTAGAATCAAAGAATTCTTAAACAGGAGAGTGGTTTCTGTTTGCAGGAAAGAATATACTCAAATGAAACAATGATTTTTTTTTTACAAATGTGTGTTATTATAATCAAAAAGCATTGACTTCATTCCCCACAATTCTCACTTGCATGTACAGAAATCAGGACATACACCATGCAAGTCTGTAACTGCCCATTTTTCCATTCCATTGACTTTTTCTTTAATTCATAACTAAAAAGTTGTATTAGTCAGCCACAGTTTCTCAAGCTTCTGACATGTCAAACTGATAGTATAGCAAATTTTCAAGTTTCTTATAAAAGGCATGAGCTATTTTTTAAAGTCTTGAAGGATCTGCCTCCACAGGCAATCGGATATATAATCCACCAACAGTACACTAAAAACGTAAACGGAATCAAATCTGAGGACAGATGGGCCATGTTGGAAAATGTGAGCTTAGTTACTAGCCCCAGAAGTAAAGACAGCTGAGGCAGAGACCGCACGCTAGCGATAACTGCCGTTATCCACATGGAAAAAACGGAAGCGCATAATGCAATAGTAAAACTAAAAATTAAAAAAAATTCAAACCTACACACTGTCTGAAAGCCTCAATTGAAGAAGCATGTCGGACCTCTAAGCTACACACCTCATTTTAAGATATTGATTGATCAGTTATTAGTTTGATTTCCATCAATGCTCAGATAAAATATTCCCAGATGGGGCAAGTAGGGTAATAACTTTGATTTTTGACCTTCTCTACATGCTATTACAAAGAGTAATTCTCTACCATCTTAAAAATTTTCAAAGCTTTTTGAGAAACACACACAAATAATTTGGATTTAGTTGATTTTATTTACAACTTTGTTTTGATACATTTCATAGCATTACACAATTACATTTTCTCATTTTCTGACCTGCAAACAGATACCTTAAACGGAAATTTTTTTTAATCATCAAATTAGGTACATCCAAAAATGCAACAATTACACATGACAATTCACAAAGTGTAATTTACCAGGACGTATCCTAAGAATTTAGGAACAGCCAGTCAGGAGAAATCTGACCAAATTTAGCAATCAACTATTTACATATCCAAAAACACACCTATCTAAACGGCCCAAGCCAAAAGTTCACAAATTTTTGTTACGTTCCCTACTGGGCGACAGTGACGATTCAAACCGAGCCAGCCTTGGACCATCGTTGGCCCAAGTGAGCACTGGGCAAGTTTCCCAGTCTAGAACGAAGAGCAAGAATCTCCATCTGTCAAACACCTAAGTCTCAAACTCTTACGCCAATCTGCACACAGAACGGCTAAGTATTCATTAATTTAAAAAAAATAAAATAAAATAACACCAAGTAGTCATGAAATAGCCACACTGCTCCCCCAGCTCACCAGCCCTTCCTGCGGTCCCGAGCATCCACTGATGTCACACAGTGACGGGTTTTGTGTGATCCGTGTGTATGCGACACTCATACACACTCAGGTACAAATGGCAATGAAGAGTCCCTGCAAATATTCATTTTCCGTTGAGGCTATGGCTCCTGCAACCTGGGGATGCTTTTTAAGACTCCGAAACTGGAAAATACTGCTAAGGTCTCACTTCCTGAAGACAAAAGCCCAACGCTTGCTCAGCTGAAGTGTCTCAGTCTGAAAATGGCTATCAGAGGTCAGTAATTTTTTTTTTAAAAGAAAAGCAGCCAAATGAGGGCGATTCCCCCCCACCCTGCCCTCTCCCCTGGGCCGAGTCCCCTCACGCAAGTCGCTCCTAACTGGACTCGCAGGCCCGCGGGCCCCACAGCTGTGCTCGCCTACCTTACTGTCCGGGGGGAGGGTCAGGTCTCAAACTGGGTCAGCAGAGCCCGCACCTCGGGGGTCAGCTGCTCGGCAGCCCTGCCCGCCTCTGTGATCGCCCTGCGGTACAGGCCCTTTCTCTTCTTATTAAAGCGCGCCTGGAAGTTTTCTAGGAAGGGGGAGAGTTGCGAGAGAGCAAGGAAAGAGGTGGTGGGGGACCCGAACCAGGAAATGCGGGCCTCCTGGCGGACCAGGAGCCCGTTATCCTTGCGGCTCACAGTGATGGAGAGCACCCGGGCGGGCCACCAGGGGAAACCATAGATCTTGGCCCAGACAATGTCCCCTACGCAGATGGTCCTGCCATCTGGCGTGACGCACTTAGAGACGTTTTTGGAAAAGACTTTCATTTTCAAGGAATCACTGAGCTTTTTCTCTTCCCGCGGAGGAGAGGAGGGCGCGGAGGAGGTGGACGGCGCATGCAGGCCGCCCGCAGGAAAGGCCAGGCCCTCGGGGGAGCTACCCTCGGAGGCGGAGGAGCGCGGGTCCTCGGAGCTATCGCCGCTCCACACCGAAGCGCTGGGGGAGCCGCGCCTCTGGTTTAGGGCCACGTACACCGAGAGCTGGCTCCTGCCACCCCGGCTGCCCGCGGTCTGCGGCTCCTCCTGCTCACCAGCGCCCCGAGCCTCCCCGCGGGCCGGTCCGGCGCCCGGCGAGGGGCTCTGGCTTTCGGAAGGGGCCTCACCTGCGGCGCGGGTGGAGGTGCAGCGGGCCGGGGGCTTGGGGGCCACCTTGCCGCCGCGCACCTTCTCCAGGCCCGCCTTCAGGGAAGAGTCATTCTCCTCGTTGCGGTACCGCTGCGGTTTTAAGCGCACCCGGGGCGGGAGGGCACCTGAGCTGGGGTTCTGGTAGCGGCGGGTGAAGTGGACTTTCGAGTGCGCGCTTTTCGACGTGGAGGTCTCGCTCTGCTTCTTCTGCGCCTTCTCTTTGGCCATTTTCAACACTTCGCGCGCCTTGGCGTGGTCCATGTTCTTGCTCTGCAGCACCTTTTTCGTACTGAGCTGCGCCTTCGACGTGTTCGCCTGGGCGGGCACCTTCACCACCCGGCCCCTGCCGTGGGCCATGCTGGCGACCTTGACCACGGCGGCGCTTCTCCGCTGGCTTTCGTTTTGGTGCTTCCCGTCCACCTTCGGGTCGGTTTTCAGTTTTTTGTTGACGGTCGTCACGCTGTCGTGCCTCCGTTTCTTGTCTTCGTACTTGGAGGCGTCACCGGCGTGGCTCCCTTTCCGGATCTCCTTTTTCTCCGCCACGACGCTGCTCTTGCATTTGTCGCAGAGGACCTGCCTGGGCCGGAGCTTGATGGCGTTCATGATCGACGTGGGCTCTTCCCTGTACATTTTCCGCTTGGGTCGCTTAATCTTCCGAGGCGGCGGCTGAGGTATCGACTGGTTGTACGTGTCCCTGATAAACAACGGGGGAGGGTAAGGCGCGCCTTCGTGGAAGAGCGGCGGCGGCTTGGAGGCCCACGGGCTCGCGGCCAGGCTGGGCTCGGGAGGCGGGACGGGAGAAGGGTCGTTGGGAACAGCACCATTGGCTTCACACTTGACCTCGGGCCCATCTTGGAATGTACTACTTTGGAGCTGCGTGGCCTCGGGTTTGTCCTTATATTCCCTTTTGGGAAATACTGTCACAGGGATCCCATGAGGCCCAAACCTTCAAAAGAAAAGAAAGGAAAAGGAGACATTAATGTCTGTGATCCGGGTCTGAGGCACCACCTGGCAGTCACATGCCCACCCCTGAAAACAACCTCACCTCAGAGGCGGAAGGCTACTAGCTGCCGTCCCAGCTCGAGGCCCACAGCCCTCCCTTTCTTACCGATCCCACATTTCAGAATAAAGCACTACTGAGATGCTTGCTCCGAGCGCTTGTCTCCTTACACTGTGGGTCATGACCCAAGGTGGGGACATAGAACCTTTTTTTTTTTAATTTGCTTAAGGAGGGACTGGCACAGCAGGTAGGGGGCATGATTCACAAGCAGCTTACATGGGTCTGACCCCAGACACCCTTAAGGTTCCCCAAGCCCTGCCAGGATTGTTCCCTAAGCAAAGGAGTTAAGTCCGAGCACCACCAGATGTGGCCCAACACACACACACACACACACACACACACACACACACACACACACACGCGCGCGCGCCAAATAAGAGCTGGGAAGACAGTGTAACACATCAGAGTATGTGCTTGTTAGAATTGATCAACTGATCAATCGATCCATCGGCATTATAATCAGGGGCCCTTGAGCACCACCAGGAGTGACCCCCAAACACTGAGCGGGGTATAGTCCTTACATACCTTCAGACATGGCCCAGAAAAAAATTATTTTTACTTAATTTCTTTATGATACATTGTCAGTAAATGTTTTATTTGTAAGACTGGGATCAATAAAAACTTCTCAGCTTTGGGGTTTGAGCATTAATACAGCAGGCGGGGTTCTTGCTCTCACGCTGCCAGCTCAGGTGTAATCTCCAGCACCCCCTAGAGATTGCCAAGCTCCACCAGGAGTAATCCCTGAATGCACAGCCAGGAGTAAGCCCTGAACACCACCAAGTGTGGATCAAAAAGAAAAAAATCTCACCAGTGGCACAAGTTTATGAAGCCCTGCTGGACACTAATGTCAAAAGGATGCGGGCTGGAGCGATAACACAGCGGGTAGGGCGTTTGCCCTGCACGCGGCCAACCCAGGTTCAATTCCCAGCATCCTAAATGGTCCCCTGAGCACTGCCAGGAGTGATTCCTGAGTGCAGAACCAGGAATAACCCCTGTGCATCACTGGGTGTGACCCAAAAAGCAAAAAAAAAAAAAAAAAGGAAAGAATGGGCCTTATTTAGAACAGACACTTCTGGGGCTAGAACAAGAATACAGGAGTAAAGACGATTGCTTTGCAGGCAGTTGACTGGGTTCGATCCCTCGGACTGACCACATATGGTTCCCCAAGCACTGCCAGGAGTGAGCCCAGAACACAAAGTGAGGTGTAAGCCCTGAGCAACACCAGGTGTGCCCAAAAACACACAACAGGCATTCCCAGTCTTGAATCAGAGCGGGGACCAGAGACACAATACAGTGGGCAAGACACTGGCCTTGCACACACCCAACCCTTGGTCACTTCCCGATGCTGAGTATGTTCTCAAGCCCATGAGAGTGACCCCTAAGTACACAGCCAGAAATCCTGAGCACCACCAGGTGTGTCAAAAAATAAACAGCTTCACACTGTGAGTCACTGGTCACTTGATGCTGTATTTGCTGTAGAAAAGACAACATATACATATAACTTGACCCATATATAATGAGTTCATTTCCCTTCTGTAACAAGCATACACCTTCGTCGCCTTGTAACTACTTGCGAAGGTTTCACAAAACAAAAATCAATGGGCTTTAGGCCCGAACAAAAAGTACAGGGAGTGTGGGGCTTGCCTTGCACACGGCTGACTGGGGTTCAGTCCCTGGCACCCTATATGGTCCCCTGAGCACTGTCAGGAGTAATCCCTGAGCACAGAGCCAGGAGTCTCCCTTGAGCATTGCTGGTGTAACCGCCCCCCCCCCCCCACACACACACAAAAGAAAAAGAATGAAGGGTTGTTGAAAGTGCATGACATAAGGGCTGGAGAGATAGTACAGCCAGGGGGGTCCTTGCCTTGCTCTATATGGTCCCCTGAGCACAGGTCACTCCTGACCAGAGCCAGAAATATTCCCCCAAGCTCTGCTGGATGTGACCTGAAAACAACCAAAAATATCACTGGGAGTGGACCCAAGTCCTCTAAGCACTGCTTGGTGGGCACCCCCACTACTGCCCTTGTCCAAAAATTACACATACACACAATACACTGAAATATTTAAGCTTCACAAAATACTTAACCCTATATTATATGTAAGATTACTTACTCTGGTCTAGTTCTTTTGTTTAATGTTAGTCAGACACAGATTTTTCCCAAATTCCCAATGCGTCCGGACTGCAAAGCCGTGACATGGAATACTGATTCTTACCATCGTGTTTCTATTTTTAACAAAACAGATCAATAACTTTGCACACAGCCAAACCAGGGTTCTATTCCTGGCTCTACACATGGTACCCTGAGCCCACCCAAGAGTGATCCCTTCGTAGAGAACCAGGAGTAAGTCCTACAGATGTGGCACCGAAACAAAAACAGAGATTAGGGGCCAGAGGGATACGAACAGCGGGCAAGGAACTTGCATTCAGCTCACCATGGTTCAATTCCCAGCCCTGAGTTTAATTTGGCCCTGAGTACAGAGGCAGGAGGATAAGTCTAGAGCCCTGTGCAGGGCCCCAAAGCCAAAGAAAGGGGGACTACCAGAGATTTTAGGGCTACCAGAGATCTGGTTCTAATTCCTTCGTAGCATTTTTTTTTTTTTGGCTTTTTGGGTCACACCCGGCGATGCTCAGGGGTTACTCCTGGATCATGCACTCAGGAATTACTCCTGGCAGTGCTCGGGGGACCATATGGGATGCTGGGAATCGAACCCGGGTCAGCCATGTTGGCTGCGTGCAAGGCAAACGCCCTACCGGCTGTGCTATCGCTCCAGCCCCCCTTCATAGCATTGTTCCTAAAGTCCTACCAAGGTGGCTCACACAAACCCACCAAAAACAAATATTTATAAACTGCAAGAGGAAAACTAGTCCATTTTCACAAGGGGGGGACAAACTTGGGCAGATACACAAGGAGGGAGCCCCCAGGTAACAGCAGACTGGGTCTGTTATTCAGAGGCGACTCTGGGAACTCATCATCATTTTGTTTTCAGTTTGGAACCACAGCCCCACATTCAGGGCTTACTCCTGGCTCTGTGCTTGCGGATCTTTTTTTTTTTTTTTTAAAGAAATAGGGGGCTGGAGTGATAGCACAACAGGTATGACATTTGCCTGGCCAACCCAGGTTCAATTCCCAGCATCCCATATGGTCCCCCAAGCACCGCCAGGAGTAATTCCTGAGTGCAAAACCAGGAGGAACCCCTGTGCATTGCCGGGTGTGACCCCTCCCCCACCACCACCACCGACCTCCCTGGGATGGGGAAAGGGCCTGAGACTACCGAACGCAGGCAGCAGGAGAGACGGACTGCTGTGTCCCTTTTTGTGTTTACACTCCCCCCCCAAAAAAAATTGTTTATTTTGCATTTTGAGCTCAGTTGTTACTTCTGACTCTGCACTCAGGAATTAGTCCTGGCGGTGCTCACGGGACCATATGGGACTATGGGACGCCGGGGATTGAACCCAGGTTGGCTGTGTGCAAGGCAAACGCCCTACCCACTGTGCTATCGCTCCAGCCCTCGGAGATCAGTTTTGAGAGGCTCCAAGCACCCTCACATGGGATGCCAAGGATGAAACCCGGGTCGGCTCTGTGCAAAGGTAAGTGTCCTATCTGCTGTACCCTCATTCTGAATGAGGGTCATTCTGGACCCTCATTATCATTCTTATAATGAGATATTAAAATGATACTTAAGTGTGAGGATGACCCAGTTGTTCCTTTTAGAGCTTTTTGCATCAAATAAACTATGGAATCTGGTATTCTTAGCCTCACTGAGTTTAATAAAATCACTAATTTCAAGTCGTGGTTGTTTTCCCCTGCATTCCTCTTCCATCATCGGCATATAAATATAAGCATTAACATTTTTAGTAATGTAAGCACTCAGCTATACCATGATGAAGAGAAACCGCTGAAAGGACTGGGGGGAACCAGCAGCGCCGAGTAACCGTGCATGGTGTGTGACTGGCAGAGAAGGCTATTTAAGGAACAAGAAACTTCCGCTGAGCACCAGAAAGGTGATCAGTGTAGGGGGGCAAGGCGGGCCCAGAGAGGTAGGCAGGAGTCCTTGTGGGCCCTCCAGGAGTGACACCCACCCAAGAAAAGCTGGGAATTGACGCTGAGCACTGTCGGGTGTCACCCAAAACTAAAGAAAAAGGAAAAGGGCACAAGGCATGGGGTCTGTGGTTCCAACACCATCGCAGGGACCATGCTTACACGGACATTTGAGATCACGGCAGTTTTAAACATGAAGGTGGGGCTAGAGAGACAGTACAGTGGGGAGGGGAGGGCACCTGCCTTACACACGGCCCACCTGGGTTTGATCCCGGGCATCATCTGGATGGTCCCCTGAGCACCTTCAGGGCTGATTCCTGAGCAGAGTCAGGAGTAATCCGTGAGCAGTGAAGGATGTGTCCCAAAATACACCTCCCAAAATACAGTTAATACGTAAATAAAAAATAAAAACAGTGATAGAGGGGTCAAGAAAGCCTGGCGGGGAGAGTGCCTGCCTTGCAGGGAGCTGGCCTGGGTTCAATCTCCAGCTTCCTATATGATCCCCCAAGTACAACCAGGAGTAATTCCCCAGGGCAGAGCCAGGAGTAACCCTTAAGCATAGCTAGGTACGGTCCAAAAATAAAACCAAAAAAAAAAAAAAAACTTTAAAAAATGAAATTGTTGGGTATGTAAAATTTAAGGTTTACAACTATCAAATTAAAAAGCCAAGAATCCAGAGACTGGAAGACAGTGCGGTGGGCAGGGGGCTTGCCTTGCAAGCAGCCTAAGCCGGTTTGGTCCCCTGGACCTATTAGAAGGGATCCCTGAGCACAAAACCAGGAGTAAGCCCTGAGCACCACCAGGAGTGATGGAAAAACAGAAATCAAAGTATAAAATACATACAAC